CTCTGGCCCCGCTCCAACAGGTCCATGTCCTCCTTGTGCTGAGGGCTCCAGAGCTGGACGCAGGGCTCCAGGGGAGGTCTCCCCAGAGCAGAGCAGAGGGGCAGAATCCCCTCCCTCGCCCCGCTGGCCACGCTGCTGGGGATGCAGCCCAGGGCACGGTTGGCTTCTGGGCTGCCAGCGCCCATGGCCGGCTCACAGCCAGCTTTCATCCACCAGTGCCCCCAAGTCCTTCTCAGCAGGGCTGCTCTCCATCCTTCCAGCGTGTGAAGGTGCTGGAACAAGGCTTCCCATCAGTCCTACCTCTGCCCACAGCTCTGACAAAAGCAGGTTGGAGAGGTACTTCCAGGTCTTTTAACCTAATTACAAAATGAAAACCTTTAAAAATGTTAATCTGTGTTTAAATAACACAACCTTGTAGTTTAAATAGTTGCGTAGTTTTTAAGCATGCATATTCCAGCTTGGCTACTAGGAAAACCAAACTTTCAAGCTACATCTGTCCAAATACCAATTTAGTAATTACTTCTCCAATGCTGGTAGCATGTGATGCTTTGAAATGAGAAAATTCTCCCTCCTTGTTTCTCTCAGCTTGTCGTTGTTTTGTGTTTATTAACTACATTTGCCCAATTGATCCTATGAATTCTTCATGATGTGCACCTTGTCTGCCTTTGATGTAAGGGCCGTGCACGCCCCTGAGGCTTCATAAATAATAAAATAAAAAGGTTCATGGACCTGTTTGGATAGGTGGTGTACATAAGCATCCCAAATTTGAGCAAATCTTTGTTATTTGGGATTTATTGTGTTAGCTATGACCTTTAACAGAAGCTTGAGCTCCCGTATGAAAGGCTGTGGACAGATGTGTACTGTGGAAGCAGCTGAATTCACAAACGGCGTTGGTGCCCACTGTTCTGCCCCGGGTACCTGTTGCTGTGCCATCGGGTCTCCTCATGTGAACAAACCCCAGGTGATGAAACCATTTAAGCTGACACAGCTCACTGTAACTGCAGTGGTGTAGGCAGCACCTGCGTGAACTGTTTGTGACCAGCAGATCCGAAGGGCACTGCGGTATTCAGCAGAAAAACGATGAGCAGCTTGGTCGGTAACCGCAGGTAGCACGGTTAGATTCAGGGGAATGCTTTTGTCTACCTCAAGGACAGAGAGGGAACAGCAAAAGGGGGTGAAGTGATTTGTCTGAGCTGTTGGGCACAGTTTTGGGCACCAAACACAGATCTCGCAGCTCCCGGTTCTGTGCCTTTCCTGAACTGACGTTGGTTTTAGTGATGGTTAAACTGATTTTTCAGTGTCTATGTATATACTGCAAGGGGCCTTTAGCTACCATGATGAAGCGTCTTTGCTGTGTATGTTCCAGAGAGTAATTATATTGCCCCAAGAACCTTGTTTACTGGATTACCTGACGTTTTTTTCCATGGAAATAATAGGAAAATACTCCAAAAGTACATGCTCCAAAGTGCGTGCTGATCCTGGTTTGGCTTTTCTCTTAGTTGTTCAATTCACTGTTGTGCACAGGGGGGAAAAGGGTGCGTGGATTACAGGGAGCAGGAGACCTGGGCAGCAGGAAAACAACTCTTGAAACTTAAATAGAGCAGATTAAGTTTTGTCCAGGTTATGCTTGTACATGCCCGTTGATCAGAGGCAGAAATGAGGCCTTGGGTATGTACCCAAGGGTAGAAACAAAACAGTGTGGGGTATTGCAGACACGATATATACGTTCAGCTAAGTAACTTACTTCCAACAGCTCTATGAAATGTCCTTAACTGGTCATACACTTTTCGAATTTACAAAAGCGGATTGGAGGGGCCAGTCTTACTGCTCTTACACGGTGGAGGCCATTCTGCTCTTTCCTGGGCTGTATTTACTGTAAGTAAGCTGCTGCTTTATAGAAGTGTATATGTATGCAAATAGAGCCGTCTGAGTGCGCAAGGCAGCTAACCGTTCAGCTGTGTTAAGCGCAGGAAAATGAATTCAGAAAACTGTCTTGTAGTCTCCTGGTGCACACCTGACTCAAGTCTTTAAACATTTCACCGTCAGTGTATTTATCAAACAGGCAAAGCACATGCAAAGGTTTATCGTCTACGTTTTAATTATCAGCTGTAACCAAAACTACAACTGCCAGATATGTTTTAATGAAGTGCCAAGACATTTCTCATCGTAGCATATAATTATTTTTTTTTCGGAAGGCTGCTTTTCCATGGCTGCCAATGAAAGTTCAACAGCTTTATCTCATCATAACGATATTATCTTTGCATGGTTGAGGTCCTGTTTGACTTGTCGAGAAATCTCATTTGCTGCTCACAGTCACTGCCCTGCTCCTGCTGGCCACACCACTCCTGATACAAGCCAGGATGCTTCTGGCCCTCTTGGCCACCTGGGCACCCTGCTGGCTCATATTCAGCCCCCTTTCGACCAACCCCCCCAGGGCCTTTTCCGCCGGGCAGCTTTCCAGCCCCTCTGCCCCACGCCTGGAGCGCTGCCTGGGGTTGTGGTGACCCTAGGGCAGGACCCGGCCCTTGGCCTTGTTGACCCTCACCCAACTGGGCTGGGCCCATGGATCCAGCCTGGCCAGGTCCCTCTGCAGAGCCCTCCTCCCCCCCAGCAGATCCGCACTCCTGCCCAGTTTGGTGTCATCTGCAAACTGGCTGGGGATGCCCTTGATCCCCTCGTCCAGATCATGGATAAAGATGTTAAACAGAGCTGTTCCCAGCACTGAGCCCTGAGGGACACCGCTTGTGACCGGGCACCAACTGGATTTAACTCCATTGACCACAGCTCTCTGGGCTCGGCCATCCAGCTGGTTTTTTACCCAGTGAAGGGTACGCCCATCCAAGCCATGAGCCACCAGCTTCTCCCGGAGAATGCTGTGGGCAACAGTGTCAAAGGCTTCGCTGAAATCCATGTAGACACCATCCATGGCCTGTCCCTCATCCACCAGGTGGGTCACCTGGCCATAGCAGCAGATCAGGTTGGTCATAGATTATGCCTTGCACTTGAGACTGCATCTGAAGAAAGAAACTGCCATGACAATTAGCTCGTGCCTTTGTATGACTGCTACAGAATTATTTCCTTTTCGCGTTTTGAAATGAAAGTTTATCCCAAGCAACCAAGTGTTAAATATTTGGGATAAACGAGAGCTTAAAAAAAAACCAACAACAAAACAAACAAACAAGCCCTCTCCCCCCAAAAAACCAAGAAGAAACCTAAATTGGGAAGCCTTGAGAGTAATCATCTATAAATACAATAACAGCCTGCAGGAGTGGCCTGCTCCTTTCATCTTTTGCTTGTTGGCCTGGTAATTTCCTGGCTGATGTTTTGGTGCTTCTTTTGGCCAAAGTACTCCTATTTGGATAAAACTCAGGGCATGGGAAAGCTCCCTGTTCTCTCACGTCATGTTGGTGATCCTCTTCCCTTACTCCCTACTGGCAATAGTTTGATTTTTTAGCAGCAGACTGCTCACCTGACAGGTTAAATTATTGCTTAGGTGCATAAGCACCTTGCAGATGGAGGTGTCAGGGTGTCTTTAGGGGCTGTAAAAAATATTAACTTGTGAATTCAGTGGGTTTGGGGAGAGCAACCGCTACCGTCATTTTGGAGTTGAATAGCTGAACAACCACAATATGAGGACTGAGTGGCTTTCAAATCTCTGCCCACTATGTAGGTGGTTCTATTAAGAATCCCTCAACAAATTCCCCCACTCCTGCAGGGCTGTTATTTAAATAATCAATGATTCCTTAACACAAAAGTCTTCCTTTCAGCAAAGAATGCCGCTTCCATCACCGCGATGCCTGAAATAACTTATGTAAATTGAGCTGTTGGGGACCACTAAAGCCACCATCGTATTGCAGCCCTACCTGACTTTAAAAAGATTCCCCACTTGTTCCCCTGACCCCTTTGGATTAATCCATTTTTGTACATTTCAGCCTTCCTGTAAAATCATGTTTTTCAGAGCAATTTGAATGTGTGCTGCAAAGCAGCTGCTTCATCTTCATGTCGGCTGTATAGCCAAGAATAATTTTGTAGCATGTGGGGCTTGGGGAAGGGGAGCATTACTCTGGTGTCCATAATCCCGCTCCTGCATTTCGGTTTTCAGAGGTGTTGCAGAGCTTGAATTCATTATTCTTGGAAACACACGTAATGTCTTATGTGCAGTGAAAAAAATGTCCTCAGAGGCGGCATTAACAGCGGTAGAAAGGATGGAGCTTTGGTTAATTAAGGATAGTTTATATGGAATATTCCTGCTTGCTTTCTGTGACACCTCATGCGAGCCAGGTTCAGCCACTTTGCTGATGGTAGAGGGTTTTTGTCGCACCATCCAAGCCTTTGCTGTTGTTTCAGGGAGTGCTTAATGTTGCTAATCCTTTTGTAGATGAGGTGTGGCACTTTGCAAATTATCTTATCTTTGTCCCTTCTTGCAGTCTGCAATCATTAACAGGATTCAGTGTAGGATTGTGGCTTTAGATCTGCGAGGCCACGGTAAGTAAAATGAATAAATTTAAAATCATATAAGCACGTTACATGCTCTCGTTTTTGAAAGAAGATGTAATGAATCCCTCCCAAGATGACTTAAGAAAGCATCCTTAAGGCAGCCCAATCTTTATTCAAAAGCAGGGATGGAAAAGTGGCTTCTGGAGCTTCGCAGCCATCTGTCCTCACGTGCCAGAAGCTGAGCCTCCCCGCACCTTTGTGCGAGGTGATGGTGGACTCATTCCTTCCTACGTACTGGCACCAACCCTCTCCATAACTTATAGGTGGTCTTTACCATTAGAAAGGTCTGATCTCTAGTTTTAAGATACATGGCAAATATGGAACAGTTAGGGGGAGCGTTTCCTACCCGTAAGCTATAATGCGATAAAATACCAACTGTTCCTATTAATTCCAGGTTTCTTAATTATTCATGTTAACTGCAGTAGGCTCGCTCTTAATAACTGTGCCAAAAAGCTTTGTGCAGTTGCTGCTCTAAGTCCTGAGGGGACTGAAGGTTTCCAGTTTACACGAACTTAACTTTTTTTGTTCTTTCAGGAGAAACAAAAGTGAGGAATCCTGAAGATCTGTCTGCAGAGACTATGTCAAAGTAAGGAAGCTTATGCCCTCTCTTCGGTATTTCTCTTTTCACAAACCTGTATTTTCTTTCCTTGATTGAACAATTACTTGAGGACACACAGCCTTAGAATCATAGAATGCTTGGGGTTGGAAGGGACATTTAGAGGCCATCCAGCCCAACCCCCCTGCAGGAGCAGGGACACCTTTAACCACATCAGGTTGCTCACAGCCCCATCCAACCTGGCCTGGAATGTTCCCAGGGATGGGGCCTCCACCCCCTCTCTGGGCAAGGGTTCCATTGTTTCACCACCCTCATTGTAAAGAATTTCTGCCTTAGACCCAGTCTAAACCTGCCCTGCTTCAGTTTAAAGCCATCCCCCCTTGTCCTGTCCCAGCTGGCCCTACTAAAAAGCTTGTCCCCCCCTTTCCTCTGGGCCCCCTTGAAGCCCTGACCGGCCGCACTCAGCTCTGCCCGCAGCCTTCTCTTCTCCAGGCTGAACACCCCCAACTCTCCCAGCCTGGCCTCAGAGCAGAGGGGCTCCAGCCCTCGGAGCATTTTAGTAGCCCTCCTCTGGCCCCGCTCCAACAGCTCCATGTCTTCCTTGTGCTGAGGGCTCCAGAGCCTTCATTCAAGGGAGGTGGAAGATAGTTTCATTTCACATGACTCTGGTAGTTATTCCTTCTTTTCCTTCCATTTTGGGACAGTTTGAAGTTTGTTTGAAATTACACCTCTTCCAGCTGAGTCAGATTCCAAACCAGAGTCGTTCTCTAGATGCCTTCAGTTTTTAAACTCAGTTTAAAGATCAGTGGCTTCATTGCAGTGAACACTTTAAACCTGCAAGATGCTGTAACGCTTGCTGGAGATTTCCTAATAGAAGTGGAATGCTTTCCTCGGACATAACCAACTGGGGCATTTTAGCGTGAAATCACCAGCTTGATTCTTCCGCTGTTCCTTGAGCCAGCGTTCAGAGCGTGCCCGCCTTGGACTGGTGGCACCCCCAAAGTGTGGGGCACAGGCTGAGACTTTCAAGCATGAAGAGAGTTGCTTTTTCAAACCAGCGTGACCTGCTTTGGGATGCAAATCCCCCTCTTGACAAAGCTGTAAGAAAAGCAAATACCTACTGCTAAGCACATTACGTTATGTCCCGCGTTTAGTACAAAGACTCTTTGCTATGACAACAATTAAATCACGGAGGATTTTGTAACCTTCATCTGAACAAATCCACTGGGTTTGTTGTGGGGAGACCATGTGTGAAATGTATTCTGACTTCCATTGTATACCTTACTGCTACTGCTTATGGCTTGTCAGATCCTGATGCGGTATTGTCCTGAGGAGATGCTGTATGAAATTATTAGGATTTTTTAGATCTGGAGCAGCACTACCGTGGGGGGAAAACACGTTGCCTTTTGGTTTTAAACCTTTTTCTCTTCTTAGTGATGAGCTGAGAAGTTATTCCTGAATAGCCTTTAAATGGGAGCCTTAAATTATAGCTGCTTTGCATTTTTTTTTTATCAAATCCTCAAGCAATTTTCTCTGACGGAGCAAACAAGCTGGTCAGCCTTCTTTTTTTTTTTTAATTTGTTTTCCATTTTCTAGTTGCAATACTGCTCTGGTCTCTCGTCCCTCTGAATGGTTTTAGTCAGGAAAGCCAATTTGGGTGCCCTAACGGTTGGACTTGATCATCTTAAAGGTCTTTTCCAACCTAAACAATTCTAAGAGTCTATAAACTATGGGGCTCTTCGGTAGATTTCAGTCATTAGCTCTGCTGTTGTTTTGGGTTTTGTGAGTCGCACCAACTGACTTTCATGTACTGCAGTGACAGCTTCAGTTTAAAGTAGATGCCTAGGGAAAGGACGGGGAAATTGCCCCTTGCCTTGTAGTACGTGTGCTCATGGAGAGCCTGAATCTTTTTGCTCGTGCTCAGAGTTGTTTATTTTTACCTTGGCCAGTAGAGCTCAGTTATTTTCTCTCTTTAATCGCAAAAGGTTTCTCCTTTTGGAACGGTGAATTTCTTAAGTCTACGCTTCCATGCAAGAGGATTTGGAAGCTTTCTCACCTCTTATTAAAAATTCCCACTAGCTAATGTCCATGTAAGATGTTCTCTTTAGGGATTACTTTTGAACGAGTGCTTTCTGTTAATAAAAAGGGAAACAACATGCTTGTCCAGGAAAGTATTGGCTTGAGTGATTTCCTTTATTGGTGCCTAGATAAAACAGTGATAAGAGAATAAACTTGTCTATAATGGCCTCAAGTTGTGCCGGGGGAGGTTTAGATTGGATATTAGGAAAAATTTCTTCACCAAAAGGGTTGTCAGGCACTGGGAAGGGGCTGCCCAGGGAAGGGGTCGAGTCCCCAGCCCCGGGGGGGTTTCAC